AATTGGAAGGCTGCAGCAACTAACCGGGAGAACTGGAGATCCATGCTGGAGCAGGCCAAGTCTCAAATAATTGGGATGTAGTGCCATTTAATAATATTTGCTATAAAAGGAAGATATCGACAATAAGTAATAGGATACAGGGCTGTAAGCGCAAGGATCCAAGGAACATTTTATAATTATTCTATTTTAAGTGTGCATGCCCCCACGGAAGTTTCGGAAGAAGGTGAAAAAGAAACTTTTTATGAACTCTTGGAGAGAACTGTGGATGACTGCCCAAAATATGATATGAATATCAATGCAGGTGACTTCAATGCAAAAGTAGGCAAGGAAACAATAGTTCACCCAACTATAGGAAAACATAGTCTGAAGGAGTCAAGTAATGACAACGGCGTAAGGCTTATAAATTTAGCTACCTCTCATGATCTAACAATTGGCAGTACTCTTTTCCCTCATAAGAAAATCCACTAGGGAACATGAAAAACACCTGACGGGTCAACACTGAACCAAATCGATCATATCATTATCAACAGGAGGCACATGTTCAATCTTCTAAATGCGAGAGTATTCAGAGGGGCGAATGTGGATTCCGATCACTTTTTAAGCATCGCTCATTTCTGAGCACGGATAGCGCTAAGGAAAGCAAGCGTACCAGCACAGAGGCCTAAGCGATACGACCTAAATAAGCTTAAGGATCCAATAATTCTCGCACAATATGAATCGGAACTGGATAGGTGTATTCGGCAGGTTGATGGCATACTTTACATATGGACACCGCATGGACTGCATACTCAGAGGCTATATCAGATAAAGCCACTTAAATGCTTGGACCACAAGAGAGGAATTCGAGATCTCCATGATTTGACTAGTGTAAGAGTGTAAGAGAGCAACACGTTTGAAGAACAAAGAAGTATACGAAGCCAAGGTTCACCGAGAGATCAGGAATAATGGCGAATTATATAGACAGAAGAGGCGAATAGAGAAACATTTCCACCAAAGTAAGAAAAGAAATTGGGAAAAGAAAGAATTGGAAAAGACTGAACTCCTTAGGGGAAATAAGAAGTATAGGGAATTCTTCAAAGCAGTCAATCGGTAAAGAAAACCTTTTGAAAGCAAATCTATATACTGCTTGAACGAAGGTGGTAAACTTCTAACTAATATGATGGATGTTCTTGAGGAATGGAAGCAACAGTTTTGTAGGTTTTCCGTTACTTCAGTCAATGGAACCACTGGATGAAGAGGAAATTTTGAATTCTCTGGTGAAACTTAAAAATAATAAGGCTCCAGGGGTTGACGAATTGCCTGCAGAACTACTTAAGTGTAGAGGAAGTGAATTACTGAAAATCCTTCAGAATATCATGATTCGGATCTGAACTGATGAAGTAATGCCCAAATCTTGGAATAAATCAATAATATGTCCAATCCATAAAAAGGGTGATCGGCTACTCTGCAGTAATTATAGAGGCATCTCCTTACTCTCTTGTGCGTACAAAGTATTGTCCAACTCACTTATTCATATTTTAGCATATGCATGTGCTCTTACATCTTTTATCTTGACTATCGCTTCTTGATGTGTATATGTGGCATGCCATACTATTGTATATAGAATAAGTATCTTTTTTTGTTATTTATATTATCTTAAATATCTTCCTATTTATCTTTAATTGCATATAGTAATTATGTTAAAATTCTCTCTTTTTCCTTGTATTTTATTTCTTTTTATTGTACACAGTATTAATTCTGTAAATATTTCTTTCTGTAAATAGATCTGTTAACCTTTTTTGCTGCTTTATAAAAATATCCAACCTAACTCCTTCTCACCTAAGCTAGCACGGTAGAGTAAATATTTAATAATGGCCAAATAATGAATAAGTACCTTATGTTTTCTAGATTTATCTCTTTAGAGATGAAAGGCTGGTAAGCCATGCACCCAACAAATAAAAATTCCTATAGAAAATTATATTTACTAAAACTTATTCTATCATCTTTTTATTTATCCTTTTTTTTTGGTCATAAGATCTTAGGCCTATACCAGTGTGGTTTTCGGAAAGGACGATCTACCATTGACCAGATATTTTGCTTGCGCATCATGCTTGAAAAAGGACGTGAATATAAGCTTAAAACACATCATCTTTTTGTTGATTTTAAAGAAGCATATGATAGTGTTCATAGGGAACAGCTTTATAAGGCAAAGAAAGAGCTCGGAATCCCTTAAAAGCTTATTAGAATGGTAAGACTCACCAAGAGAGAAGTGAGATGCATGGTACAAGTTGGAGGAGCAAGATCGGCAAAATTCACTTCTGGAAGAGGACTAAGGCAGGAAGGTGCACTGGCATGTCTCCTCTTTGATTTAGCTTTAGAGAAGTCCATTAGAGATTCTGGAATTCAAGTGGGCAGAACAGTATTCAGCCGGGCAGTGCAACTTCTTGCTTATGCAGATGATATCGACACTGCTGGACGCTCCTTCCAGGCACTCTCTGATGGATTCTTGAAATTAGTGGATGCAGCAAGAAAAATGGGCCTCTAAGTCAATGCTGCAAAAACCAAATACATACAAAATATACAAATAAACCAAATGTTCACTGAGGAAAATTCCAGACCGGGCAAAAGGATTACCATCGGAGAATTCTCCAGTGGAAAAAATGTCAGAATTTATTTATCTCGGATCACTCATAACTCATGATAATGTTGTAGATTTTGAAATTAAGTGAAGAGTGCTATTTGCCAATCGTTGTTATTATGGCCTCAGTCCATATTTTAGAAGCCGTGCCTTAGCCTTAACCAGAGGAACAAAAATCCTATTGTATAAAACAATTATCTGACCGATACTCCTTTATGGCTCACAAACATGGACTGACGAGCATAATCTAATGGTCTTGGAGAGGAAGATTGTGCGTAAGATCTTTGAAGCTGTGAAAGTTAACCAGTTATGGAGACGTCGGACAAACTAGGAACTCAAAGATTTGTTTTAAGAACCAGACGTGGTTCATTTCATGAAGCTCGATAGATTGAGATGGGCTGGGCACGTCGCTCGAATGGCTGAGAATCACATTCCGAAAAAGATCATGACAGAAATAATGCACGAAACAAGGCGTAGAGGAAGACCTCGGCTTCTGTGAAGTGACGGTGTGGCTGGTGATGCCAGGTCCATGTTGGGAGTGAGGAGCTGGATGTCAGCTGCACAGGATAAGAACAATTGGTAGAGGCTGGTAGAGGAGGCCAAGACTCAATATCGATTGTCGCACTGACTGTATAGAATACAGCAATAGATTTATATATTTTTTCAGAAGAAAGAAAAAAATATTGACTATTGTATTAAATGAATTATAATGTATCATAAATTACAAAAACTAAAAGGAGCTTCCTGTAAAGTATGCCAAATAAATTTTTGTTATGAAAAAGCATGTTAGATTATTTTTAGAGTCCATTGAAACTGTTAAATACCAATTTTTATATAAATCAAAAATTGTAATATTTAATACTTAATTTTCTTAAGAGGATTTTTTTTTCTGGCTGATAACTAAAACATTTATATCTTCTCAGGATTATCTCCAAATTCAACGTTAATACAACAGTTGGAAAGCTGAATTACTCTCTACTCTGAATTACTACTCTTCCAATCCACATCGTTAAATTTTAGATTTCATTCCTTTTTAAATTAGAAATTAAGAAAAACTTTTAAGGGAAGCCAATATATTTTGTCAACAACCACAACATTTGTGATAACTTTAGAACCACTCCACTGATTCACACAAAAATTATTAAGGATTTAGAGCTTCATGTACTACACAAAACGGTACAAAACTGACCTCCGAAAACAAATTAGAACCAAAGATATAAAATAAAAAATCATTGAGAAGTTTTTCTTAATTTCTAATTTAAAAAGGAATGAAATCTAAATGTTATCGATGTGAGTTGGATGAGAAGTAATTCAGCTTTCCAATGTTTGTACTAACGTTGCATTTGGAGAAAATCATGAGGAGATATAAATGCTTTAGTTATCAGCCAGAAAAAAATCCTTTAAGAAAATCAAGTATTAAATATTGCAATATTTTATTTATACACAAATTGGTATTAAAGAGTTTCAAAGGACAATAAAAACAAATCTAACTTGCTTTTTCATAACAAAAATTTATCTGGCCTACTTTACTGGAAGAGCCTTTTAGTTTTTTTAATTCATGATACATTATAAATAATTTAATACAATAGACAATATTTGTTTCTTATTATGCACAAAACAAGAAATCAAATGAAATATAATTATTCTTCAATATGGTATCACAAAAAAAAAAAAATTGGTTGAAATCGATAATCCATTGACTGTAGCCTCCCATTGTTAAATTATCAATTTGTAAATTATGTTATAATTTTAATAAACAAAGATAATTATTATAATTAGATTCTCTAGTACAATGGTCTTTATATAACGGGTGTGATTTTATATGGTAGCAAACATAGACTGCTCATCTATTTTCAATAACACCATTACCACAAACTTTCTAAATGGAACTAATCCCTTGACTAATGGAAACATAAAAGGTAATCACCGATATTCACTAAAGTGGTTTAAAATTATATCTGTTATCACACCCTTTTTTTTAACGATTCCTCGGAATGAATTTACAAATAAAGACAATAATATTCTGATTATTATAATATATGTAACAGATAAAGCTTTAAAGAAAATTCATGATGTTGCTTAATAGAGTAGAGTAATTATAATAGAGTAAAATGTTTGTGTAAAATTCAAGTTTAAATTTATAAGTCTGTTTTGAAGTTTTTTACAATACTATTCTTCAGCTCATATACAAAAAGATATCAGAGATGGAAAAAGAATATTGTTACATATTTCTAAGAAAATTATGCCACTCTTAATTGACACTATTTGATAACTAAATGAAGCAATTAAGCTAATTACATATGTTTTTTTTTAATATATGCCTTTAACTGATAAAAATCCAACACCAAAATGATAACTAATTAAAAATGCACATATAGCATACTTCAGATTGTTCTTCAATTTCTGCTGTCGCCAACCGCAAAACATCCAATTTTGTATCTAATTTATTATGTCCCAAAAATGTAACTGAAATAAAATAAAAAGGCATATAGTAAAAATTAACAGTGAAAAACACATTTTTAAAATTTTAGTTTAAATTATCTATTATTTATCATTATCATCATCATAACATTGATTTGGCATTCTAAGGAGATATACAAACCAACTTGGTTAGGATTCCTCTATTACAGTTTATGTGTGGTTCACACTAAAACTGGACCTTACGAGAGTATTCTTAATCCTGTCCTATCTAATTCTGTCTTTCACTTTATCTCAGGTATCGCATCTCCTGATTGCCTACACTTGTTCTTAATGTTTAGTTGTAATTGTTCAAGACTCTGAAGAATATATAAATAGTGGTACTAAGTTGAAATTGTATAACAAGATTTTGTATTGCATTTATTTCTGAATAAATCCAAGGTTAAACAATTTGGTCCATACCTTGGGTTACTGATGAACATAGTCTTAGCGACTCATTTACATTAAAGTAATGGCTCATTACTCATTAACAATAAAGTTTTATGTTCTTAACTCAGCAATACCCAGTAAATATCCAGCTTTTTTTCTGCTTTATTTTCTTTCCTTTTTTAATTTTTTTCTTCCCCTCCGATATTGTTTTAAAATGTATTATTCTTGGGTTATTTTTGTCTTATAATCAACCCTTTTCACAAAAGTGTAAAATTGTATATATAAACAGAATGCATAAAGTGATGATAACATTATTATAATAATTACATACATATGTATGCTAGATCAAGTGGTTGAGCAAGTTAACACCTTAGCTGCGATTACGGTCCCCGGGTTCTCAGATTTGTTTTTATTGTTCGATTGTTTGCGGCAGGAATTGTTTCGAATTTTACCTATCTTACAAAGTCTCTAAAATGATCATTTTTAAAAATATTTGAATGGGGATATAATATAATATAGGATGTAAAGATAAATATGAACGTAAATAATCATTATATCTGATAGATGCAGGGGACCGTAACTGCAGCTAACGTGTTAAAGCATTCAATGTGTATACAGGCTTTTTGTTTTGATTTGTATTGAACCCACAAGTTAGTAATAAACAGTAATAATAATTTTCAAGTCACATCCTTCAGGTTTGGTGGCATTTTCTCATAAGTTTTTTATATATATTTTAGGAAAAAGGTCACCAAATGTACACAATTTTTATATCCTGTATTCTTTATTCGACGTTTCGGATTCGGGAGCCATTTTCAAGATCCTGCAAAACTAATTTTAATTCAGTTTTTACAATTCAAAATACATCCTTATCAGACACCTATTATATAACAACTATCAGTAATATAAATAGTCCAAAATTTATTTTATAAAATTTTTTTAAAAATTAAATTTATATCATCTACCTACCATGTACCGCACCATAAAATTTTTAAAATCTATCATTGCAATATGATTCGTCCTTTTGTCATTTTTTTTTTCAAAGAATGTTGTTTTTTCACTTCTAAAAAGTTGTAATACATAAATAATAAATTAAAATAGATTGTTAAAATTATTTTTAAAAAAAATATTATTAGTTCTCGATTTATGTACCTCTTTCGCAGAACATATCAAGAAAATTGTTGCTCCTCACCAAGGCATTCATACAGGACAGGATTTATTTTAAAAAAGGAGTGGGGTGGAGGGGTTAGGGATCAGCTGTTTTATATCAGTATATTATATTTTAATTTTATCTATTGAGCTAGCATAAAAAGTATTTAAGTTATCTACATCTGTCTGTTGATTTACCGAATGTTTGAAGTTTTTGGTAATAAAAATGGATTCAATTATTCTTCGTTTCCCAATTTCCCAATATTCTGTTCTCTATACAACACGGAAGCTGTACCGAAATCAAATTTATGTCTATTTTTTGTGGTATGCTGCGATAATCCTGTGGCTAATTTTGATTTTGTCATTTTTGTAATATGGATTATTATTATTATTGTTAGAAATTAATGTAAAAACAAGTGATGTTGTACATTGTTAAAAAATATATAGATTGATTTATTTGGGAACTTACTCAACCTTTGTTTTTGTCTATACACATGGTGATGATGGTGAACAGGCAGAAAAAAAGAAACTCTAGAACAGCCAAGGGGTTGGATGAGGAAGTTAATTTTTCTGAGGCCATTGACTCATCGGGTACCAACGAAAACAGGTTAACTCGACGTAAATATGATATAGAAGAACGAGTAAGTACATTTAAGTTTCCTCCTTATAATAATTCAGAAAAATGGGAATATTATATAGACCGTTTTGAACTTGAGTTAGAAATTAAAAATATAAATGGTAACGACGAAATCATAGAGAAGTCACGACGCAATTTATTGTTAAAATGTGTGGGAGCAGAGTTGTATAAACTGGTAGTGGATTATTTCCATCCTACAAAAATTACTCAATTACGTTATTCTGAAATAAAAACATTTTTAGATACATATCTAAAACCGACCACAAGTTATCTTGCAGAGAGTAAAATTTGGACAAATATTCCGTGAAGAAAATCAGTCAATAGCATCATTTTTAATGAAATTGCGATCGGCAGCAGAAGATTGCAAATTCGGAAATAATCTGGAAGAACGATTACGTGATCAATTTTTGTTAGGATTGAAAAACCCGTTGATGCAGGAGGAGCTTTTTTGCCGTCATTCAGAGGAAAACGCAAGCCTAAAAGCAACTGAAAAATCCGCTCTTATTATTGAGTTAGCCCAAGAACAAAGAAAAGTCACAGAGGATACGGCAGAGGAAACTCATATCTGTAGGATAGCTAAGACCGAGCAGGGAAATAAAATAATTAGAATAGTAGATCCAGCCACAGAATGTATTCGTTGCGGGTACCAGAAACATAAACAGGGTAGTAAATGTCCAGCTAACGAACACACCTGTAGACTTTGCAATTCTTATGGTCATTGGGAAAGGAATTGTTTTGAATCTGACAAAATTAAGCTAAATAATAAAAGAAAGGTGAAAATAAAATCAGTAAATAGGTAAGTTCAGAGAACTCTACAGATAGCGAATATGAAGTCAACACCGTACTAGACGTCAACGCGATTACTTCAGATAATTCTCGGTTTTTGGTCAGGGTTCAATTAAACGGCAAAAATATTTGAATGGAATATGACACAGCTGCTGTACATAGCATTGTTGGAGAAAACGTATGGAAGTATATAGGAAATCCACCACTACAAAAGACCCGTAATTTAAGGGCTTATTCTAATTCCTTGTTGAATTTGTTGGGGGAATGCTCGGTGTCAGTTACAAGTAGGAAAGCAAAGTTTTCCAGTCTAAATTCTAGTCTTCACGGGAAATTAGAAGAACTCTTTCAATCTATAATTGAAGATTCAACAGAAGTATCTAAAGAGTTTACAGTGTGAATAACTTACTTGATTCCAAAAGAGGAAGGAACTAACATAGAAACTAAAAACTTTCACATTGAATACTTAATAATTGACCGTTGCATTATTAAGGAAAGAGATGATCCGGGGTGGCGGTCATAAATAGACTAAATAGTGGCAAAACTATTTGCGTTTGAGTTCTAAGTGAAACTTCTTGCTGGATACACTTCCCTGAAGAAGACCTGCAAAGTCGGGTCAAAACTTTGGCTTTTAATAAAATACTTTTGCCATTATTTAGTCTATTTATGACTGCCACCCTGGACCATATCTTCCTTAAAAACTTTCACGATTTTCAAATTTTTCATGATTGCAATACTTACCCTTACTATATATTACATATATAGGAAAGTGAAAGTAAAAAATATATAATTTTTTACAAATACGTACAAAGTTACAATAATTTAAGTAAATTTTAAGATAAATTCATCAAGGCTTGAACCTTATGAGCCTTCAGCTCAAGTCCTTAAGAATCGTGGTCAAAAGGTTCTAGAGCCGAGTCTTCTTTTTTGTCTTTAGTAAAGGGGAATGATCATTATTGAACAGTATAGATATCATAATAGAAATAAAACTAGATAAACTTCGTTGAACAGATCATGCCACCAGATGAAAAATCAAAAAGTTCATCCTGGACCTCAAATCTATACCTCCATGTGGACTTGAAGTTGTTGGTTGACCAAGATTGAGAATGTTAAACTTTGCTGCTGAATAACGCAGGAAAAATTGGATTGAACAACTGAATGATGACAGCTATCGACAAAAACAATTGGCTTGAGGAAGTCTAGAAACCTAGAAAGTTTGTCAGCTGTGAAGCTGTAATAATAATCTATAAATATTATAAGTCATGAGTTCAATTTAAATTCACTCCAAGATCAATAAATAACACAACAGAAAAAATTCTTACTCAAAGTTTCATATTTCTTATAAACTCTATGATACCATTCCTCCCCACGTTCAGTGCAATTTTTCACTTCAGTTTTATGAGACATTAGATCTTGTTCCATGGAGAGGTTATATTCAGCCAACGAACGATTTGATGCCAATAACATTTCTTTTTCTGTTTCTCTCTCATTTCCCTGAAATAAAATATATTACAATCACAAGTCATAGATCATATACACTTATAAAGGGTAAAACAAATTAACGAAAAACCATTTTATTTTTATTAAGCATATGGGAAAGGAAAAAAATCATCAAACTAAGATGTGACATTCACAAAAAATAATTTTTAAAATATGGTAAAACTAGAGTAGTGTAACGTCTAGATGAAAGATGGGTCAAGATCACATCGACCACACTGTACATGGAATGACAAAGAAAGCTGAGTGTATCTACCTTTAGCAAATTAGGTTTGACAACCAATAAATTTGATTAAATAAATTGGTGTGGTATATAAATATAAATACAATTTAATAAATAATATTTAAAACATCTGTAATAAATCTTTCACCAGTAAGAAACACCTAGATACCACTAAGTATAAAAGTATAAAAACAGAACAGAGATTAGAACATGTATCACATATTAGACATATGTAACACATATTATACATCCACCTTCCTCTGAAAACTCGAATCTTATTCGATCTGATCGATTATAATCTGACCCCTGAAATAAAGGATATGATAAAAAGAAGAAATGCAGCAAGGTTTAAATACTATCGAACCTGATTCACAGTCCGACTTGCTAAATCCATCTACTTCCACAATGCCCTTCCCTTCCCGATGCTCCCAAATCCAAATGGAAAATACTTTGTGAACTATCCCTACCAGAATACAATATTCTCAGTTCCCTCCCTATGACCTCAGATGATCTCAATGACCATTTCTTATCCTTCACTCCCAGTATTCCTCCTACTACTGATATTGCACATCATAATTTCAATCAGTAAGACTTTTTTTCTCTCATGTATCCTATGATAAACTCCTTACCACTAATCTAAAATCTCACACCAATGATTATGGTCCTAACAATATTTCAGTAAAACTTATAAAATCCAGCCTTCCTACCCTTATTCCAGTACTATATCATATCTACAACTTTCCATTGCAAAACTCCATATTCTCCTCTTCCTGGAAAACTGCACTAGTCCGACCTCTGAATAAAACTTCTAACCCTTCCTCACTGCATGATCTCCGTCCTATTTTCTCATATCCAACCTTTCAAAACCACTGGAATGCCGTGTTCAAAATCAACTTTCCAGCTTTCTGGAAGAACGAACCCTTATCGTCTCCAATCAGGCTTTTGACCGGGCTATTAAACGCAATATGCCCTCCTTAAAATAACCCATGACCTCCAAAGCTCCATAACAACATGAATATAGAGAAGACTAAGCTAATTTTAATATGCTCCAATTATTTCCTTAAAACTGTTCCTTATATTCTAACCCTGTTCCTACATGATAATTCCAACTTCATTTGTTCCAGCTAAGAGATTATAGATCGATATACGCATATCGATCACCCCACCGGGATCAAGGGGTTGGGTAGAGGTAGTACCTTTGCTAGGGTTGACCTCGACACTGGTCCTCCCCAATGAAAGGGGCACCAGCCAAAAGATCTGTGAAGCATTTTCATTTTGATTGGTGGAGATCTGTATGAAGCTATTTCATATATATATTTAACTGGTTGTTATCTGTGGAGATTTGAATGCCAGGACAACGTTAACTCCCATGGAGTAATAGGTCTATGGGGTGGTGAAGAAGTTAAAAATGATAATGGCCAGAGATTGATAAAATTCTGTATAGAGAATGATATGTTTATTGGAAATTCTCACTTCAGAAATAAGTTAATCCATAAAATTACTTTTGAAACGGAAGGAAGAGAGGCCTAAAGCATAATAGATTATATTATGTATGACAGAGGAATGCATATATATATCACTGATATAAAAGCTATTACAGGTGCAGAGTTAGGCACCGATTATCGTCTGGTTTTTGCTGATACCAAAATTACTAAGACACGGAAGAGATACTTCAAAATGTATGTACGAATTGCGGCCAAAAAGTTCAGAGATCCAGAACTGATTAAAAGATAGAGAGATGCTGCTGACAAATATACAAGAAGTCAATTATGACATGGCTCTCGATGACTTATAGGTTCATATCAAAACAATAATCCATTCTAGTGCAACAGAGCCATGTGGTATTTAGAAAATTGGGCCTAATGCCAAAAGTACTAGATGGTGGAATGATCAAGTGTAAAAAGCAGTAAAAGATAAGAAAGAAGCATGGAGTCTGTGTAGGCAGAATAAATCCCAAACTTGTTGGGATGAATACGTCAGATTGAGAAACATGGCCAAGCAAATAATCAGGGAAGTTAAGGCAAGATCTTGGGAGGAATTAGGAAAGGAAATACAAATTAATTTAGAAGAAAATCAAAGAAAATATTGGAGTATTGTTAATGGGTAAAGAGGGAAGAAAGGGAAACAGGTATGAAGCGTCCAAGATAATAACGCTAATTTAGTAATAATAATAATAATAATATATATGGAAAATCTATAAAGTAAATCAGGCAATAATAGATCTATTAGAATGATTGGTGAAAATTTGGAGGGTATCAATTAGCACACCAACTTTGAACGGAATGAGTTCCAATGAATACATATCTATAAAGAGAGGTATTTTTCAAGGGGACTCCCTTAATCCTCTATGATTTTGTTTGGCGCTTAATCCACTTAGCAAATTATTGCGAGATACAGAAAAAGGGTACCTACTTAACTCTGAAATGAAGCTCATTCATTCATTTTATATGGATGACCTTAAGCTTTACACTAGAATGAAGACAAAATGGGAGCTCTTCTGAAGATAGTAAGAACGTTCAGTAATGATATTAAAATGGATCTAGGAATAGATAAATATGCAATAGTACACGTGAAATGAGGAAAAATTATTAAGGAGAGTAATATTGAGATATCAGAAAATGTAATAATGAATCAATTGAGAGAATCTGATTCTTACAAGTACCTTGGAGTACGCCAACTTCTGAAATTTAAAGAAAAACTTTGAGAAAGAATTTAAGTATCGTGTTAAATTAGTACTTTTTTTTTTGTTTCTGCTCCGACATAGGGGGAATGCACCATGTCCTCAAAAAGGCCTACTGTGCATCGTCCTAAACTCAGTTAAAACAGACCAGATGCCTTCGCGAACCTATTGATACTCATGGGATCAATCAGTTCACAGTGCTTGGGGTCAGTGATACGATCACACCCAAAGGAAAGTATCACAGTCTAGCCAAATTATCACATTTGCAAATAATGTGATAGGCCATTTATTTACAAATAAATTAGTACTTAAATCACATTTAAATGGAAGAAATTTGATACGGGCATTGAATAATTAGGCAATACCTGCTTTAGCCTACTCATTTCGGGTACTGAAGTGGACTAAAACCGATTTAGAAAGGTTGGATCGTTTTCTAAGAGTCCAGATGGTGCTTTCAAGGAAGAGGCATCCTAAGTCATCTGTAGTGAGATAATATCTTATTAGGAAGATGGGAGGGCGTGGTCTAATTAGCCTCTTGAATTTAAACCATACCTGCAATATCCTTTCTATATCATTAGATATAAATTATACAGCTTTGAATTTACGAAGCCCTGGGATCCCGAGTAGTGAAGCAGATGATGGCACTCGATCAGAAATATGGAAAAATAAACCTTTACATAGAAGATTTTATCACTCATTAACGGACACTGAGGCATCGTTGACATGGCTGAAGAGGAAGATACTAATCTGTGGAAGTATCTTTCCATAAACAGAAGGATTCTTGTTTGCTATTCAAGAACAGGTAACAGCCACAAAAGCATACAGAAGACATATGTGGAAAAGGCATCGACGACTTATGTCGCTTATGCAAAAAGGCAGTTGAATCAATTCAACATGTAACATCAGGATGCACAATACTTACAGGTAAGGAATACTTGCACTTGCAGAGACACAACAATGCAGCTAAGGTATTGCATCAACCTATGGCTCAGAAAATGGAACTCGTGGATAAATATTGTCCATATTATAAATATCATTCAGAACCAATCATCTCCATGTGCAATGTCAAGATGTTCTGGGATCAACCGATCCTGACGGATCACACCATCCCCCACAATAGGCCTGACATTCTTATAAGAGATAAAAGTAAGCAATCTGCATTTATCATAGAGATTGGGGTTCCTTCTGATGATAACATACACCTAAGGTAGTAGGGGGAAAAAAGAGAAAGTAAGTAGAATTAGCTGAAGAGATAAAACAACTGTATCATTTAAAGGAAACTGGAATTCTGCCAATTGTGATCTCATGCAACGGACTGATACCGGAAGAAACTCTATCTTCTCTGCGACAACTAGAACTACCATCACGGACGATTGAAAGAATGCAACAAGCAGTGTTGTTGGGAACAGCATGTATAGTTAGGAAGTTCACAAATATTAAATAATTATGAAAATATATAAATGTAATTTTTAGCTGACCTAATAGGTCCCCAACGATTGCATATTATAAACCCCCTTGTATATGTAAAAAATATAGAAATAATAATAATAAATTTCCAAACGTCCAGACAAAATTCAGAATTATAGGTTAAAGGACTTTACTAATACGCATTTAATTCTGGACACTTATAACAGAAAACTATTAGCAAATGGTATTATTCCACCTGATGACTTCTGTAAAGGAATAACATATTTAATCCTTAAATCTACTAAGGATCTCCTTGAACTTAAAGATTTTAGCCCTATCACCTGCCTCTGCCTGAATGGGGTGTATAAATTGCTTGCATCTGTTATCAGTTATAAAATATTGGACCACGTCAACAAGTACAACATCATGACAAAAGAGCAATTAGGATGTAAGAAGGATGCCAAGGGATGTAAGGAACTGCTGGTATTACATTCGTTCATAGCTTTCCAGATATCGAAAAAAAAAGTGAAATGCTTCTATTGCCTGGATTGATTACCAAAAGGCGTACGATTCAGTTCCTCACAAGTGGTTAATAGAGGTACTAAACATGTACAAAATAGACATTAAAATAGTGAAGCTATTAGAACGTCTAATGAAAACTTGGAAGGTGAATTTACACCTGCCTAAATTTAGTCATTCCAATATTTGTATATCTATAAATAGAGGAATATTTCAAGGAGACTCTTTAAGTCCATCACTGTTTTGTCTAGCATTAAACCCACTAAGTGAATTATTAAATGATTCAGGTATGGGTTATAGACTTGATAAAAATGGAACCAGATTATCTCATGCTCTATATATGGATGATTTAAAACTGTATTCTAAAAGTGAAGAAGAACTTGAGAACATGACCGAAATAGTTAAATCATTTAGTAATGATATAGGCATGACGTTGGGAATAGATAAATGTGCTCCAATTCATGTTAAAAGGGGTGAGGAAATGAATAAACAAGGCACGGAACTAATTAACAATGGAACAATAAAAGAATTAAACAATTCTGATTCTTATAAATATTTAGGTTTCGGTCGACTTTTAAAATTTAAGAAAATTAATAAAGAGAATTATAAAGAAGAATTAAAAAATAGAGTAAAAATACCACTCAAAACATACCTCTCATCTAGCAATTTAATTATAGCTATAAATACATGGGCTATTCCTGTGTTGACTTATATGTTTGGCGTTCTAAAATGGTCTAATACAGAGCTGGAGGAAATGAATCGTTTGGTGAGCGTTCTTTTTACCTCAGCCAGGAAATGACATCTCAAATCTTTAATTGAGAGGATGTACTCGCCTCGGATAAAAGGAGGAAAGGGACTTGTCTGCATATTAAGAAGCTGTAGAGAGCAAGAAAATAATTTAAGGTCCACTTTCCAACTAAGAAACTCTCCTGTATGGTCAGCCATAAAATTGCTGGATGATGCCTACACAGCTTTAAACTTAGTTTCAAAGGAACATGAAAAAAATCTGATCAAAATCGATATGAGCCCAAACCGGTGCTATCAAAAGAAAATAGAATAATATATTGGGATCGATCTATCATTACAGACCGCACGGTATTAAATAACAAACCGGGCATTATATTAATTGATCGGAAGAAACAAAGTGGGTATGTCATTGATATAGCGGTCCCAACTGATAATAATATCGGAAAGACTATTTCTGAAAAGATTGGGAAATATCAAGATTTGTGCTAAGAGCTTCGGCAACTTTACAAACTGAATTAAGTACAGGTATATCAAATTGTAATTTCCAGCAATAGCCTCATCCCAGACGATACCATTTGCTCTGTCGAAAATTTGAAATTGCCAAAGAAAGTGTTGGAAGAAGGGCAAAAAGCAGTTCTCCTAGGCACAGCGAACATTGTCAGGAAGTTCTTAAACATAGTTTAACTTTTGAGCCTAACCCTTGACCTTGGTCCGGGCAGGTGAATAATTCTGGCAATAATAACAAAAGGCTTAGCGAACCCAAAGGATCAACGCCGACACCGCACATCTCTCTCCACTGTTCGCCGTCCAAACTCAGTCCCTTCAGATCAGCTTTAACGCAATCTTCCCACCTTCAGTCTACCCCTCAGACGTTTACCATTCGGTACAGAAAATATTAATCTGTTAGGAATTCTTTTGTTACTAAGCCCAACAATTTTACAAACCCATTTGATTCGCCGCGAAGTAATCACGTCAATTATATTAACTGGATAAAGATCACGCAATTCGGTATTGTGTAACCGTCTAAACTCTCCGGTTAACTCATCCTTCTTCGGTCCAAATATTCTACACAATACTTTATTTTCAAAAACCTTATCCCTTAATGTTAGCGGCCACATTTCGCATCCAAAAAGAACTGTAGGTAAGATAATGGTTTTATAGATTCTAGTTTATAAGTTCCGGGACAAGAGGTGTAAGCTAAATAGTTTTGTCACAGAAAAGTAACAAGCATTTCCTGCTTTCAGCCTAAACTTAATCTTCTCTTCAATAAGTTTTTCAAGTTATCGTAGACCCTAGGTACATAAAATTCTCTACGTGTTCAAACATATTACCTTCTATATCGATATCACCGGAAATATCGCCATTTTGGCAGCTAACCATATATTTCGTCATATCAGTGTTTATTTCAAGCCCTAGTTCTTTACCAGCTTCCATTAAGGTTTTCGTATTAAGTTTTATAGTTTCCATGTCTTCACTTAACAGGACCAGGTCATCCGCAAAGCCAAGCACGGGTGTTATCCAACCCAGATCCAATCCTTTTTCGGTACGAATTACCTCCCTAATGGCATGTTCTAATGCTAAATTGAAGTACCAAAAACTGTATAGTATAGTAATCAAGCATGGGATTCCAAAAGTATTAGTAAATTTAGTTAGAATGTGCTTGACGCAACAGTCAATAAAGTTAGAATCTATAATAATTTATCAGAAAAGTTTGAGGTTCGTTTGGGTTCAAAACAAGGTGATTCCCTTTCGCCTGTCCTGTTCAACAGTAATTTAGTGACAAAAGAAAATTAAATACTTAAAATTATGGCATAAACACTACCATAGTACCTTTTTCCTCCAGGAATACAGACAATATCCTCGATATGGTGTATTCCTAAGGCCGTAGAAGACCTAGAATCTTAACAAGTTTAACAATTTGTTATATATCATTTTATAAAAATTTGTCATCGTTATTTTTTTTTAAAGTAAAATATTAGTAGTTACATTCATGAAGAAAAATAAATTATCTCCAATTTAATAATTGATTTTTTCTAAGCTAAAACCAACCATTATTGAAATCTAAATAAAAACCACCTTGTTAAGGCATATTTATAATTTCTTAAATTTAAACAATGAAATGTGGCCTAACATAACATAAACATTGATGTCATCAGACAAACTTTAATTGTGTCAGCTTTCAATGAACAATGTGATTGATAAAATTTTTGCAAACCCATCATCTAGACCAAATACTACTGAACTAGTACAAATATTTATTTGGGCAACATATATTTAATCATAATACCATGCAACCAAAAATATATTTGGTATTTGATACCAACTAAATTCCTGCTAATAAAATAAATTACGGAAAACTCAACAAAAAATTCAGGACGCAGTCATTATAAAGGTTTTATATTGGTGCCGACATTACGAAGTACTTATATTACTGCAAGTAAAACTAATTATATTAACATAATTATATTTAATGTAATATATAATGACTGCAATCCCCAAACAACCCTTCAATGATATTTTACATACATTAAAGTAGTAGCTCTAAAATAACATAAAAGAAACTTGTCAGAAATAAAATACAATTGATATTAATAGAAATCAAAATTGTCATACTTGTTTAATTTCTTTCAAAAGTTCATCCAACTTAGCATCATCGTTTAAAATACTTTTAAGTTCATCAGTTGTTAAGTGAGTAAGGAAACCAATAACAGATGAATAATCCGATATAGGATTATCAGATGACATATTTAATTTCGCTTTCAACTAGTAAACAATATTTATTCATCAAAAGTAAAAATAAGAACTATACACTAACAATTTAGAATTAAAATCAGTAACAGAAACGGTTAATCTCAAGATTCAACGATTACTCCACGAAAATACTCAAAGAGGTTCATGAAACAAAATAATTGATTGAAAACTTTATGTGGTAAATGTTAGTGTCACTAAATAATGTATAAGCCTGAAAGCAACATACATCAGCAGCTTTTGTTGGATTCTTAAATTCGTAACATTCTTTCGTAATTGTAAGAACACTGGAAGTGTTTTCTGTAATGGTTGGGTTCAGAATGGCATCAAAATTTACGGGTGTGGCCAATGTAAGATTCAAAGAGAAGTATGTCTTCCAATAAAGTAAACTCCTTAGCACATGTGGGCTATCCTGATTAAACTCGAGAAGAAATGTTGGCTAAGTTTGAGATGTGGGCTGGAAGTATAAAATCAGAAGATGTTGACCTCAGGGTCTGCGGGTATCTGCGGGGGAACATCTTTGAACGTTCCATGATAGGCTTACTTGACTCAAGTGCTTCCCGGACGATTTTAGCTAGGTCAGATTGGGAACTTATTAAAGGTCCATTGCACAAGTGACCGTCTAAATTTAGAAAGATTGTGGTACCAAACAGTCAAGGATGCTCCGTTTTCGGAGTCTGGGCGAGAGCAGCATTAATGAGTGCACTATTCAACGGTGGTTCAAAAAATTTCGGGAGGGAGAATTCAGCCTTGAAGACATAGAAGGTCGTGGAAGGACTTTCTCTCTTGATGTAGTGGAAGAAAACCCCAGAAAAACTGTTCGAGAACTTGCAGGGCAACTTAATCTTAACAAATCGATCGTCGATGACTACCTCAAGGCAATATGAAAGGTAAAAAAGCTTGAAAGTTTGGTTCCACACACATAAAGGACCGCTAAAAAAATCAGCGTTATGAAGTTTGTATTACACTCCTTTGCCGAAACAAAAACGACATTTTTCCATCCAGTATTGTTACTTTTGATGAAAATAACAGTAGACGTTCTAGACAGTGGTTCGACAAAGGAGCAGCAGAACACTTTCCTTTCATCAAAAAAAGGTGATCGTTACTGTTTGAAAAGAAAGAAAGAAAGTAAATCTTATTCTAGGGGGATTTAGCCCCCTCAGAATGACTACAATGAACAAAGAAATGACAATTGTCTGGCGATTGTGAATAATTAAATGACAATTAAAAATAAATTAATTTACAAAGTTGTATAACCTTAATATTAAAATAAAAAAACATAAGTAAACATATAATCTTGAAGACATATGAATTTAAAGATGATTACATACGGGTGAGTTCTCCTATTTGTACAAATAAGCAATATGACACATACAGAGATATCTGCAAGATATCGGTATTGTGTAACTGACATCTCTGAAGTATAAAATAACTTCATTTTACTTATATTCGGAAGATTGATTACTGAGGTGATGGAAAAATAAATTATGTTTAGAGTGCTACCACTGGGTAGTATCTCTTCAAGCCTGTACATGCCATTATTTATGTTTGCGCATATTTACTAGTTGTATTTTTCAGTTGTAATACAGTTGTAAATTTCATTAAATAAACAAAAAAAAAATTATGTTTAAATGAGATCAAGGATGAGGATTTCCGTAAAGAGGTTGGTAGGGAATTCCAAAACGAGGTAGTACGTATGACGACAGATATTTTAAAGGAAATAGTTCTATGAGAAGGAATAAACAAATTTGAGGATTGGGATCTAGTGTTGCACGAATGAACAGTGGAACAAGGAGTAAAGATATCAAGAAGGTAAGAAGGTTTTTTGGTTGTAAAGTTTCGGAAAATATTGGATACACCTAGGAAATATTGCTGTCGGAAAACTGGATATAGCCACATCAACTCGGCATAGCAAATAGAGACGTGGGAACGCTGGGAACTGAATAAAACAATTCATTAGCCTCTTTGATCTGATCTCAAGGCCACCAGACAGTCCACCATATACAAGGAAGCCATAATCGAAATGAGGGAAAATGAGAGAGGAAACTAGGAGCTGATGGATTTTAAGAGGCATAGAGTCGCGGAATCTCATGAACTGTTTAGGGATAGCAATGGACTTTCGAATTATTTGGGAAATGGGATTATTCCAGGACAGATGTTGATCAAACATTACCCCAAGATTTCTTGCGGAAGTGTGGAAACGTATGGGTATCCCATAGAGGTAGAGTAGAAGATAATAAGAAATGAGGTTAATTAGATGCTTGGATCCGATGAGAATGGTCTTCTTAACATTCAATTTTAAATCATTTTTCGCTGCCCAGGTATTAATACTGTCGTACTTGTAGTCATCGGATCGCCTCAAGCTTCTTGGTAGGATGGAAAGAAAGGTAGATTTGGAGATCGTCCGCATATAAATGATGTTGTAGGTAATCAACGGAATCAGGAAGGTCATTATTAGATGGAGAAAAAGAAATAAAAGAACCACTTTAGAGCATTATTTGATATGGAAAGGTTTTGGAGTTTGGTAAGGAGGATTTTGTGATTTACGGAATCGAAAGCCTTTAAAAGATCAGAGAGGCCTAGGATCGAGATTTTATGTTTGTCTACAGAGAAATGAAGGTCCTGGAAAATTTTCAGCAAAGTGGATTGGGTGGATAACTGGGATCAGAAACAAGATTAGAAAGGATTAAGGAGAGCTTTTTGCTTAAGGAAGGTATTAAGCTAGGAGTGGACTATTCTTTAAAGAGGCTTTGAAATATTGAAGATGGGTCTCAGATCGGAAACTTTGGAGGGAACCGGAACTTTTCTCAGTGGGCAGACACTATAACGTTTTTCCAAGGTGACGGGAATCTGGAATTTTGTAAGGAAAAAGTGTAAATATGCAGTAGGACAGGAAAGATGACATGAAGACATAATTTGGTTAACTTTACAGGAAGTAGGTCTGGGCCATAGTCGTTTGTTCTAGATTTTAGGACAGAGGAAAGTAGGTCTTTTGATAAAATATTTGTAAAATAGAAATTTTCATTGCCAAAGGAACTTAAGGAATACAGTATGAGCAGGAACGGGGTAATGAGTTAGGATCAGCAAAGGAAAGATATTCCACCATTTCATCAATGGGGAAATAGGAATAAATGGGATCTAAGGATTGGGCTAGTGGTTCGAGGAACGGGTTCAGTTTTTCAGAGGTCAATGAGCCTAGATCCCAACATGTGATTTTCTTAGGAATAAACTTAAGAGTCGGGTCATTATAGGAAATCTTAATGAGATCATGATATGAAGGATAGAAAGGAGACCAGTTTCTGAGAGGAAGATAATAAACTTTGATAGGAATCAATTATAAAAAGGTCGAGCTATGTGTTCGAGAACTGGGTATGGTGAGTAGGTTAAAAAGGAACGATAAATAGGTCAAAAGAATGGATTAGATCTATAAGGTATGATCTGTCATGGGAGTCGGATGATAGATTGGTATTAAAGTCGCCGGTTATAATTACATTGTTGTATAAGGAAACAAGGGAGGATTCGAATAGGTAAAAATTTCGTCGAGAAAAGCCGATAGATCATATAGATTCTGCGTAGACTGTCGCTTGGGAAGCCGAAATGTAGCGGGAAAAAGTATATATAACTGAAATCTCTAAAAATGGCAGAATCGTGTTCTAGGGGTTCCAAAACGGACAGAATCCGCAACTCCACCTTTCACTGACGACTTTCGACACAGTGCAAATGGTCTATTATTTTCGAGGGAAATCAGAAAAAAATGGATAACTAAAACTAGTTAGGAACTTTCATCCTTACGTTAAGAAAAGCAGTCTATTAAGTAAATTTGCTGGATTTACTGATTTACCAAACCATTGGTAAATTGAAGTAAACCATTTTATCACAAAAAAAGGTATTACAATGGTACTGAGATTAATTAGTCACTCAATATGTGATATAAACTGCTCCAGGAAATTGATACCTTAAGGGAAAATGATTGTTACCATGTAAGGGAAAATGATACTTTTCAGCTAAAACTTCTTTTTCCTCAGGATTAAGAAAAATGCACTTTCATCCGCATTAAACAAACGGCGTGCGGCGTCCAAGATATGCAAAAGCCTTTTTTTTTCGAAGTACGACTGGACATTTGAATACCACTTCTTCAAATTTTCAATCACAGAAACTAGGAATGAAGTAAAGTTTTCAGGAATCCTAAAGCATAACATCGGATTTTGTTAAATGAAAAGATGAAACCATTTACATTCAAGGGGTCATCTTTGTATAGATTTTCCCTATCTAAATTGTTCAGCAGATTTTGAACGCTATCAATAACATAATTTTTAGCAAAAGTAAAAACTATTTTTCTCAGGCATTTAATCCACATAACCAATAACTTTTCTTCTTAGCGAAAAAAAAAAAAAAAAAAAGTGGATTGTCCATTTTACGCTTAATAGGGTATTTTCCTCTGAATTTATTAGTGTTATGCGCGGGATTCCATTTTTACATGAGGTTGACATTCCTCTGTGAAAATCGTCAAAAGCTTTTACCGTGTTTTCCTGAACATATTTTATTATTATTATTATTTTTTAATTTTATATCGAAACCATAGATAGTAAGCCACAAGAAAGAAAAGCCAAAAATAAATAAATAAAATATTGTTCCTATAGCTGACATGTCTTGTAAAGTACTTGACACCCCCTGCCAGCTATTGGAATATATAATGTACATTGCAAATAGTGTTCACTGGTAAGCATATATAAAGAAATAGAATAATTAAATAGAAGAAATTATGTATTTAACGAAGTCCTGCAATGCAATGACCCGGTAGCTGACAGGACTGTCCAGGTACTGAAGAAAGGGGCAATTAGAGGTTCCAGTAGCTGATACCCATTAGATTTTGCAATTCCCCTAAAAAATAAGTTCAAAACAGTTAAATCATAATCTGTAAAATTATAAGAATGAATAAAACAGAAATTTGAGAATAGTGCAAAATAATTAAAACAGAAGAAGAAAAAACTGTACTTCAGTATTCTTACTGGTAGATGGTTGTGACTGGGACACTTAATCAACTCTAAGGAACTTTCCTGATTTAATACCTGTTATCACAGGCGGATCTACGGGGAACTTTCTGGCTGAACTCCTCTTCCCCAAAACGGTAAAATATAACCATGTTTTATAGAAAAAAAAATTAAAAACTATCTCTTAAAGTATTATTGTTCGTTTAATTACATTTAATAGGACTTAAAGAATCACTTAAACACCATTCCATATAGGTAGTCAATTTCTTTCTTTTTTTGTCAAATTAATTGGTTGTAAATATGAAAAAAAATATTCCGGGCTGAAGCCCCCTCCCCAAATTAAATCCTGGATCCACTAGTGCCTATTATTAAATTAGTTTTCCTGCTAAGACTAAAGCAGAATAGACCAATATTCAAGAGGAATGTACAGAGGGCATTAATATTTAAAACAAAGGCCTAGTAGGTCTTGAAAATTTATTATTTAAATTTTCAGAGGATGACGCGCTGGAACACTGTCAACTACTCGTGTTTTTACCCTAAATATTTTGAAATACGATTATTTCACTTAAAGTATAACAATTAAAATAAAATAGTTTTATACCTATTACTTAAAAGGGATCTTAAAACATCGAATATCGACGTCAAACATCGACTGCTGATTACCATTTTAAAACGTTGCTTATTTATTTAAGAAAATTTTATGTAAAAGTTTCTTCAGTTCTGGTTGTAATAGATTGTTTAATCATTTTCCAGTTATTTGTAAGCATATTATTTTATAGATAACATGAATTAAGTTTTATATATATTTATATAGTGTGTGAGTGTGTTTTTAATAAAATATAAGAAAATTATTGGCCATTTCATAAGAATCTAATGACGATTTTGAGAATAAATGTCAAAGAAAAACTACTGTTGTGTTATAACAACTTGTTTGTGTTCATTTGTCCTGATTCACATTTACATTGTTTTGAAATGTAGTGTTATTGATTTGTGATGACTTCATATGAGGTTAATAATTTGTTTTTTTCATATCATAATATCTCCAGTACCTTTTTATAACAACTTTTCTATAGATTCATGCAAGTGAATCAAAGATAATTCATTTGTTGGTTCTTAAAACTAGAAATGATTGTTTATAGAATATTTTTCTTGTTACCATCAAAGTTTAGTGAGGAAAAGAAATAATTATTTTTGAATTAAACAATAAATAATAGAGGGGTAAGTCAGCGGCTTTGGATTACGAAAAACATTGATAGATTCTGAAGATTGAATTCTCATACAATCATAGTCTATGAACCTCTTCCCTCTAAATCCTATCAAAAGCCTAATCTGCAAAATTAGACCTAACACAACTAGACAATAGCCTATTTAAGACTGATTAGATTTTCAGGGATTTGTTTATCCCTACAACTGTTCATCCCAATCATCAACATGTTATCATTTCAATCATATTTACATATCTTGCAATTTCTCCTTATGTATCCTTCTTAATTGTCATGTTTTTGAACACATGATATGAATACTTATTTGTTTTTGACTGTGGATGTAATAATTTGATGAGACTGTGGGTGTTTAATTGAAAGTAAATGTTGTGAATAGTTAAATTAATGATATTTAAGGGAAAGAATGTTCCATTTATCTTGGATATGTCATACTGGAGATCCATTATTGAAAGCTATTGTGGATTCTGTGTTGTTTTTTTTTTACTTAATTAATCATTATTTAACATGAAATTCTTTTATAATATATGTGATAGTGACCATGAATTATATATATGATAATATGTTTCTAACTTAGTTTGTCCCACTTTGGTGAATGATAATATATTTAAATGTCATGATTGATCTGTCAATCAACTGATAGCTGTTATCATTATCATTATATATCATTATCAACTAATTATCATTGTGGGTTATTAGATTACTGGAAATTCGCATTATGATATTATATTGACTGAATTAATTTTTTTTTTAATACTTACATCTATTGATATTTAGCTAATAATCTTAGGTCCACATATTGTAATATACAGAGAGGTATATCTGAGCAAGTATACTGGAGTGTATGTTCTACTTACTACCATTGAACCTGCACAGGTGGACAGAAATGTATAGGTAAAGCAGCTTCAATATACCATTCTTTCCAGCTGTACAGGTGAGCGTAACTGTACGCCTAAATGATTCCTCCAAAAGCAGCATGGGTTTCAGCTTAGTCAAAGTTGGACAAGCATAGAAAGAGGGTCTAGCATTCCGTTAATTTTTTAACTGCACCACTTGATTTCCTTTTGTTATTTGTTTGTCGTATCAGGTTAGATTTGATAAGATATTATTCAAATCATATAAATACCAATGTAAGAAATTTTTATTTTACTGTTTCAATCAAGTAATTACAGTAGTCTCGGTCTTGTAATAAATTGATGTGAATTTAGAGATTTCTTCTCAAATTTACTCCTTCACTTACACATTTTTTTTAAACTACTTGATAACAATAAACAGACAACTGCAATAATCTTGTTATGTCAATGCCATGAGCAAAATTAATGGTTAAATTGTTTTACCATCCCGTACCGTTTGGATACTCATCACCTGTACAAGTAAAGATCAATATACCATAACATGTGGAACGAGCCTTAGAAAGTGGTCAAGATTAAAAGTTTTTATTTCTAGAAAAATTTCTGATTGATTTTTTAAGAGGAACTGGAAAAGGAGAGTTTTAGAACTGGGTAAGGAGAAGGCAAGGTAGATTTTAAGAGACAGAAAATTCCAAAAAGTGGTGGAGCGGACAATAAAGGAGTTCAGAAGTTCAAGATCTTGTGGTAAAGTAGTGGACAGAGGACATGAATTGGAGGTGATTGTAGGCATTGGACAGGCGACTACAATACTATAAATTTATATACAAAGAGAAAGAGAAAACTTGTAGTAAATACATGCTCCTTCTGGTTGCCTACAAGATAACCAATATCCTACTCAACCCAATTTATCAGTATTAAGAAAACCACCATCCTGCTGATCACGATTGTAATTTTTTTTTTTTTTATATTACATTTGGAAATTCGTGTATGAGGATGAATTTTCCCTAGATTTCTCTTTTCTTTAAGTAAGTGTTTTTTGTCACTTTTTCGATATTTTTTCCACCATCTAAGGGAGGGTACACCCCTGGCAGAATTCTGTAGTGGTGATCACGATTGTAATTTTTTTTTATATTACATTAAGAAATTCGTGTATGAGGATGAATTTTCCCTAGATTTCTCTTTTCTTTAAGTAGGTGTTTTTTGTCACTTTTTCGATGTTTTTTTCCACTATCCGAGGGAGGGCGCGCCCCCTGGCAGAAATCGCTGGTGCTGATCACGATTGTAATTTTTTTGTTTATATTACTTAAGGAAATTCGTGTATGAGGATGGACTTTCCCTAGATTTCTCTTTTCTTTAAATAGTTGTTTTTTGTCACATTTTGGTTTTTTTTAACCACCCAAGGGAGGCCGCGCCCTCTGGTAGAATTCGCTAGTGCTGATCACGATTGTAATTTTTTTAAAAATTAAATTACAAAATTCGTGTATGTCTATGAATTTTCCCTAGATTTCTCTTTTCTTTAAGTAGCTGTTTTTTGTCACTTTTTCGATATTTTTTTTTCACCATTAGAGGGATGGCGCGCCCCCTGGCAGAATTCGCTAGTGCTGATCACGATTGTAATTTTTTTAAAAATTAAATTACAAAATTCGTGTATGTCTATCAATTTTCCCTATATTTCTCTTTTCTTTAAGTAGGTGTTTTTTGTCACTTTTTCGATAAATTTTTCCACCATCCGAGGGAGGGCGCCCTCCCTGGCAGAATTCGCTAGTGCTGATCACGATTGTAATTTTTTTTTTATATTACATTAGAAAATTCGTGTATGAGTATGAATTTTCCCTTGATTTCGCTTTTCTTTAAGTAGGTGTTTTTTGTCAACTTTTCGATATTTTTTTCCACCATCCAAGGGAGGTCGCGTCCTCTGGCAGAATTAGTTAGTGCTGATCACGATTGTAATTCTTTTTTTATATAGTATTAGAAAATTCGTGTTTGAGGATGAATTTTCCCTAGATTTCTCTTTTCTTTAAATATGTGTTTTTGGTCACATTTTCGTTTTTTTCCACTACCCAAGGGAAGCCGCGCCCTCTGGTAGAATTCGCTAGTGCTGATCACGATTGTCATTTTTTTTTAAACTACATTAGGAAATTCGTGTATGACTATCAATTTTCCCTATATTTCTCTTTTCTTTAAGTTGCTGTTTTTGTCACTTTTTCGATATTTTTTTTCACCATCCGAGGGACGGCGCGCCCCCTGGCAGAATTCGCTAGTGCTGATCACGATTGTAATTTTTTTTAATATTAAATTAGAAAATTCGTGTATGACTATCAATTTTTCCTAGATATCTCTTTTCTTTAAGTAGGTGTTTTTTGTCACTATTTCGATATATTTTTCCACTATCCGAGGGAGGGCGCGCCCCTAGTAGAATTCGCTAGTGCTGATCACGATTGTCCATCCTCATACACGAATTTCCTTAAGTAATATAAACAAAAAAATTACAATCGTGATCAGCACCAGCGATTTCTGCCAGGGGGCGCGCCCTCCCTCGGATGGTGAAAAAAAATATCGAAAAAGTTACAAAAAACATCTATTTGAAGAAAAGAGAAATATAGTGAAAATTCTTACTCATACACGAATTTTCTAATGTAATATAAAAAAAAAATTACAATCGTGATCAGCAATAGCGAATTCTGCCAGGGAGGGCGCCCTCCCTCTGATGGTGGAAAAATATATCGAAAAAGTGACAAAAAACACCTACTTAAAGAAAAGCGAAATCTAGTGAAAATTCTTTCTCATACACGAATTTCCTAATGTATTTTTAAAAAAAATTACAATCGTGATCAGCACTAGCGAATTCTACTAGGGGCGCCCCCTCCCTAGGATTGTGGAACAAATATCGAAAAAGTGACAAAAAACACCTACTTAAAGAAAAGAGAAATCTAGGGAAAATTGATAGTCATACACGAATTTTCTAATTTAATGTTTAAAAAAATTACAATCGTGATCAGCACTAGCGAATTCTGCCAGAGGGCGCGACCTCCCTTGGATGGTGGAAAAAAATATCGAAAAGTTATCAAGTTATAAAGTTATAAGATAAGTTATAAAGTTATAAGTGACTATCAATTTTCCCTAGATTTCTCTTTTCTTTAAGTCAGTGTTTTTTGTAACTTTTTCGATATTTTTTTCTACCATCCGAGGGATAACGCGCCTCCTGGCAGAATTCGCTAGTGCTGATCACGATTGTAATTCTTTTTTTATATAGCATTAGAAAATTCGTGTTTGAGGTTGAATTTTCCCTATATTTCTCTTTTCTTCAAATAGGTGTTTTTTGTCACTTTTTCGATATATTTTTCCACTATCCGAGGGAGGGCGCGCCCCTAGTAGAATTCGCTAGTGCTGATCACGATTGTAACTTTTTTTAAAATTACATTAGGAAATTCGTGTATGAGAAAGAATTTTCACTAGATTTATCTTTTCTTTAAATAGGTGTTTTTTGTCACATTTTCATTTTTTTCCACCACCCATGGAAGTCGCGCCCTCTGGTAGAATTCGCAAGTGCTGATCACGATTGTAATTTTTTTTTATATTACATTAGGAAATTCGTGTATGACTATCAATTTTCCCTAGATTTGTCTTTTCTTCAAATTGGTATCTTTTGTCACTTTTTCGATATTTTTTTTCCCAATCTGCACACCTC